GCCAGGGCACATTGCTGGCTCATGGTCATCCTGTTGTCCACCAGGACTCCCAGGTCCCTCTCCACAGAGCTGCTCTTCAGGAGGTCAGCCCCCAACCTGTACTGGTGCATGGGGTTATTCCTCCCCAGATGCAGTACCCCACACTTGCCCGTATTGAACTTCATGAGGTTCCTCTCTGCCCAACGCTCCAGCCTGTCCAGGTCACACTGTAAGGTGGGACAGCCTTCTGGCGTGTCAGCCACCCCTCCCAGTTTTGTGTCATCAGCAGACTAGCTGATGGTACACTCCATCCCTTCATCCAGGTCATTGATGAATGTATTGAACAGGACTGGACCCAGCACTGACCCCTGAGGGACACCACTTGATACTGACCTTCAACTAGGCTCTGCGCCACTAACCACAACCCTCTGAGCTCTATCTGCCAGCCAGTTTTCAGTCCACCCCACTGTCCATTCCCTGTGACCTGAGTGGGATGGCAATCCCGAGGCCACCTGGGCGCATCTGGAAAATCTCACTGTAAATACCGTCACCTTGGGGATAAATCTCTACAAACACACCCAGGAATAAGGTACTTAAGGTGGCGTCCTCGTGCTCATGCCGTACACACACAGCTAGTGGGATGTGATAAACGTACTGATCTGTGGAACTGCTAATACAGCTAAAAGCTATGACACTTTCTCTTGTTACCTGTGATGTCCTCTCTTTCCTGTGCTTCCATCAGCAAGATGAGCAAAGCCTCCCCTTTGCATTGTTCCAGGTGAAGATGTTCACACCAGCCTTTATGGAGCAGCTGTAGACGTCAACATCAGGCTCGAGAGGAACTCCTTGACAGTTGAGAAGACTTACCTCACTCTGTCAAACCACAGATCGGTGGTCATCCACAATCGGAGTGAAATCATAGCCCACTTCCAGTGGAAGGCTTTTGTTACTCAGGAAGAGGAGGATCAGCAGAAACTGAGGTTCGTTTGAAAGATTCATTTCAGTAAGACACACTGCCCAAGGGTAAAACTAACGTAGGGCCTCGGAGGGGTGTTGGCGCTTTTGAATGGTTTAGGAGAAGTAAACCATCTGCGGTGTCAGGGTTTGTGTCACGGAGCTTCAGGGTAATGGAGCTCAGCACCTCCCAATCCGGTTCTACCCATACTCTACCTGAGGATGATATTTTTGGGGAGGAAAGGCTGATTGCAATGACTGGATAGCAAATTTGTGTTTTGTGGGACCACAAACCACTGAAGCCCAGAGATCCTTGGGCTGCAGAGGGTCCATGAGACCGAGGAAAGTGTGAGCGCTCATCACCTGAGACAGTGTAGCTGCGGGTAACATAATTATTATAATAGTTACCGCAGTTTCTTCCGCTGTAGCTTTGATAAGATAAGATCCAGGCTTCGTTTCCAGTAGTGTGCAGCGTAGAGTCCTTTGTTGGCCCAGAAAGATGAGGCCATCCTGCTGTAGGACGTTAAACTGCCTTGCGCTGCCCCGGTTTGCAGCACAACGAGGTATTTCTGCCCTTCCTTAGGGGCTGGGGAGAGTTTGGAGGTGGAGGGTTCTGGGGGGAAGGTGGGGCAGCACAGGACCTGGGAGCGCGTTTGGGCTTCGGCAACCTGTGTCTTCGTGGTGGTGAGAGATGGGACAGGATGGTCAAAAGGTGTCTCTGGTGGAGCTTTGAAATTCCCATTTCTGGCAGCAGAGACACACTTACAGCCTGGGGGGAGGAGGGTGTGAATTGGAAATTACACTTAAAAGCTTTGGTGATGTAGGGAATCCTTGTGTGACTTTTCAAACTTGGGTGTATTGGAGTTAGTCTGAACCCACAGCTGATCAGGAAACTGCCTTAAACTGGAGCACTTTTTAAGGGCTTCTGAGCAAATAAAGTTCAACGTAATTAGGTCAGAAATGCCTTGAAGGCCAAAACTAGTTTTCCACCGTTCTCTATTTTTAATTACACAGTGTGTGACTTCTCTGTGAGCTCAGCACGTTAAAAGAAAATCTCATGACTTTCTCTTGGTGCTTCCCTGGACCATTCCTTTACCATCTCTTCCCACGTCTCAGTCTGGATCCTGAGTGGTCCCCTTTCCCTTCAGAAGCAACCAGGTTTCTCCACCATAAGAGTTCAACCTGATCTTTTTTCCAGTTACATTTGATCTCACGCCAGTCTGTCCTAGACACTGACCAGCACATTTGTTCCTCCTTACTTGGAGGTCTTAGGGATGGTCAGAGCTCCAAGGCCACTGTCCTGTTGTAGGAGAAGATTTTGAGGTCTCAGAGCAGGGAGGAATTTCATGGGGGGAGGCAGTGGGATGTGACCTAAAAAGCCCTGGATCATTTAGAAGGTCTATCCAGGGGTTTGTTATTTCTTCTGCGGGACTTTTTTTTGGAATGTAATGGTGGAATTATCATCTGTTGCTGGAGGTTGAGTTGAAGGTTGCTCATCTCAGTGCCTGGAAGGCCCCCCTAATGTGTAGAATTGTAGGTCAGCTGTGGAGAAACATCTCCTGTTGTGCTCCACAGGGAATAGCTGGCAGCAGCTCCACGGGGAGCTGGCCAAAGCAAGTATTTTTGGCGCTGGTGACAGCGTTTGCCCGAGGCTCTGTCTGTGTGCCGCTAGTAATGTCCGTGACTGTATTTCCTTTCTAATTGTGTTTGTATTTAGCTGGGTGATGATCGCTGTCCTGTTTATACTACGCTGCCTCTATTCGCTGCATATGGAAGCTTCCACTTGTCCCCCCAGAGTTGTCACCTGCTGGTTCTTCATGGCCAGGGGACTGGAGCGTGAAGGGGGGACAGCGATATGCCAGCCAGGAATCAGCTGCTCCGTAGCAGCGCTCCCTTCCCATCTCTTGGTTGTGATCTTTAAACACTAGAATGATTTCTGCTACAACTACTGAGTAAGGGAGAGATTAACTGTGTCAAAGCTCTGCGGAGAAGGCCAAAAAGGAGAAAGGATAAGGTGGTTCAAGGCTGGAGTTAAGGGTTTGGATCCAGCGGTGCTGGTTGGGTGATGTGAGGCGAAGTCCCTTCCTTTCTCATGGCTTCTGTTTTCCTGCATGTGGAACCATTAAATCTCACCGAGGTGGTGTGATGCCCGAATTCATTAGTTGGCTTTGAAAGTGCTGTGGGATCCTCTGGTGGAAGGCAGTGTGGGGAACGGAGAGCAAACGCTGTTTGCTTATTCCTGCGGGTGCAAAAGGGAAGAAAAAAGAGCGATGTGGGTAACCTGCTGCTGCAACCCAGCTGCTTCCCCCTTCCCAGTGAAGCGCTGCAGTGGGTGCTCCTGCATCTTTGTCGTCTGCCTCCCAGGAGCAGCTCTATGGGAGGAAAAACCAGTTGAGGTCGTTGGGGGATTCTCCCCGAGTCGAGGCAGTGGCTTTGAGCCAGGTCGCTCTCTTGAGGGCTGCTGGCTTTCAAAAAAAACCCCACTTCTTAGCTTATAAGCGTGGAGTAAACCTTCCCGCCATGCCAGTCTACAACAAGTGATATTCTGGTTGGTTTGGGGGTCAGCCCCTTGCTGAGCCGTGGCTGTTCCTCCCCGAAGCGTATTGCTGCCCCTGCCCTTCCACGCCAATCTCGGCAAATATGTTGCTTATTAAATTATCTGCTTGGTTTGTCTCTCCCCGTGGCTGCAGGCTGTGTCGCAGGCTGCAGAGGCAGGAGGAGGACCAGACGGATTATTTTCTCAAGGAGTGCACAGTGGACCCCACTCTCCGAGAACGCCTTTCCCTTCTCTCCCGCACCTTCCAGAACCAGAGAGCGAAGGTGCAAGGAGACTCCATGCTCTTCTCCGATGACATCTTCACCATTGAGCCGGTGGTAAGCGATAGCTGAGAACCTCCCTTCCTCCTCCTCCTCCTCGAATGAGGTCACTTGGCACATCCCCGTGTCAGCTGGCGTGATGTGCAAAGAGGGGAAGACATCAGGTTTCTTGTGAGGCCATGAGAGCTTGGTGCAAAAAGCGTTTCCGAACCGTGGGTTGCTGATGGGTAGCGAGAGCCTGCCGAAAGCTGAGCTGCTGCAAGGGCTAGAAGTTAAGGGCACTTAATAAAGAGCATTCAAAGGTATCGATTATTATACATAAGGACACACCTTATATACTATATGTGGGTTAACAAAGGATATAAGAGCACTGTCAGGTCACAGATTGACCTGAAGAATGGAAGGAGGCCAAATTCAGCCCAAGTTTAATCACAGAAATAGCATTCCCTTCTTATAACCAGGACTTACACCACATCTTGAATCTCCTGGTGTCATCTGTGAGCCTGGGCACAAGGCTGGCAGGTTTAAACAGACTTTTTAATTTCTATTGCACATAAGTAGTGAAAATCTTTTGGCTTTTCTCTTCATGCAAGCAAAATCTCACGTCCTTCGATCAGCCAAAGTCCTAATTCTGAGTATTTGCGTGGTCTGAGATGGAGAACGCCCGCTGGCTGAGCAGTACAAAACCCCCTCTCGTCTTTGGAGTATACCCTAGAACAAGCCCAACCTCTTCTTTTCTTATTAAAATAGGTGAACCCATTGCTTTTTTTTTTTTTCTCAAGGAACGAGCCTGGCCTTAAGTCTTGAGTGGAAACCTCTCCTGAATGGCTGTGTTAATGTTACCCTGTTTGCTCTAGGACTGGGTTTTGCTCATGTCTTTCTTCTCCCCCTGACATACGTCTTTACATCGCACGATAATAAGTACTTTCTCCTCTTTATCAAATGTAGAATCTAAAAACATTCACTGACTTCCATACCCTTCTCTCTCTGGTGATGGCCCTCGATGTTTTAGCATGGACAGGCACCTGCTGGCACTGCCACCGAAATCTGCTGGAAAAGCCCCCCCAAAGGAGGGACCTTGCTGCCTTCTGGCCAAAAATGGCTGCTCTCTTCTTCCTGCCTAGCACCCGTGATGTCTGGGAGCACCCTATGGAAATAGTCGAAGCTTTGTAACAAGTGATGGGAGTCCAGTCCTGTTCCATATATCCATCACTGACCTGGATGAAGGGATGGAGTGTACCATCAGCAAGTTTGCTGATGACACAGAACTGGGAGGGGTGGCTGACATGCCAGAAGGCTGTGCCACCTTACAGTGTGACCTGGACAGGCTGGAGCGTTGGGCAGAGAGGAACCTTATGAAGTTCAACAAGGGCAAGTGTGGGGTACTGCATCTGGGGAGGAATAACCCCATGCACCAGTACAGGTTGGGGGCTGACCTGCTGGAGAGCAGCTCTGTGGAGAGGGACCTGGGAGTCCTGGTGGACAACAGGATGACCATGAGCCAGCAATGTGCCCTGG